TCCCCCAATTTTGGGATGTTTTTTTTTTTTTTTTTTTTTTTTTTTGTGCTGACACACTAAAAGTCTTTCGGCAACAGTAGAAGAGAATTAATATATCAGTAATGACCTGTTGTCCATCTGGGCTTCACCTTCTGCCACTATGCTTTTTGCCATGGACTGTTGTGTGTTGCTCACAAGGTGGCAATGTGAGGAACTTAATGTGGTTTAATACTTGACATTTGAAACTTTTCTTTTTAGCTATGTGCAATGGAAACCCTACTTCAAGTTTTGGAAAGAAAAGCTTCCTGAAAACAAGCAGGCCTTACAGCCTGCCTTGCACTAGTGCTGAAGAATCGTAGTACCCTAGCATTGACCAGTAATACGGTGTACATTTATTTAAGAGCAGTTTTAATTTCAGGGACTGAAATCACAGCTTCGCTTTAACTGTGTGTATGGTCTCAACTGGCTCTTCAATACTACAGAAATGGCTCAGTGAAACTTATACCCAGTTACAAATGAAAACTCTGATTTATTTAAAAAAAAAAAAATGCCTTCTGCTTTTTCCAAGACAACTTTTTCACAAACAGCACAAGACCTGTTTCAGTTTTCAGTACGCCATCAGAGGTCTGTAACAGGTAACTTTTTTGGTTGTTCGAGGGGTACTTTTGAGGAAACTTGTCAGTTTTCCTAATTTTTTCTTGTCATACACTGCTCTAGCTCAGGAGGTTTGCTCTGTAAACACCTATATGACACAGGAATTAAAAATGGAGCAAATGAGGCTTAAAAGGAGTATGAGAAAAGTACAGAGCCTGGGAAAGCTTAGTCTGCCTAAAAATTGTGGGCTCTGCATAATTCGGATCAGCTAAAACCTATGTTTATGCAGGGATAAGCCCACTGGACGTGGTGTACATTTTAGTGTTGCTATCATGCTAAAGAAACAGCAGTAGCATTCATTTAAATAGTTTTTTTGTTGTTTCATTAGTCAGGACCTGCTTTATTCTGTCTAGGAAATATTAGGCCAGACCAAGCCACATCTGGAGCAGTGGCAATGCATGCAGAGCAATGATTTTTTTTTTTTTTTCAGTTAAATATGTTCCAGGGAAACAGTTTAGTTTGAAAAGTATGTGGTATATTACAAAAAACACCTCTAAGGATTATGTGGAGTCTGTTTTGGGGATTACGGGAATGCTTGGTCCCCTCAGCCTCCAGCACAAAAAGTCACTCATCACAAGTGCGTAAGGAGTCTCATTTATCACTAAGCAGCATCTGTTTATAGGAGCAAGCAAATGAAAACTGAAGTCTTTAGTCCAGTTTTTCCCTTACATAAGCTTTTGTTCACAGGTCTTATCTTTGAATAAGTTGTCTTCAGCACAGAGGAGATGAAACACGGTGTCAAACAGCGCAGCAATTGCTACCTGCTCTTGGCTTTCAGCATGCTACAGCAGCAGCCCCTTTGAGCCGGCCTCAACTGCAAGCCAAGGGTGAGCGCCACAGGTCCCAGTATTTCAGCACATGTCATGCACCATCACGAAGGTGTTTAATTAAATTACAGGGCTACAGCTGGGAGCCTTAGAGTACAGCATCCAAGGCTCCTCACACCAAGCGCTGGTATTCCGCTACCCATCAAGGGAGCAGAAGCGCGTACAGTGCTCACCATAGGATCCGCACTAGTAGGGAGTGAAGACCAACCCTGCAGACCACATGCTGCGTTAAGGACAACAGTGGAACCCTCGTAGTCTTTAAATGCTAACCCATCTTCCCATTCAGCTGGAAGAATGGACTTACAGAGCAAAGAGCTTTGCTCAAGGGTGAGGCTCTCGCATCCAACTAACGAGGTGTTTTCAACCTCCCCCAAAAATGTTTCTATTAATTCCATGGATGGTTTGGAAAACTGAGGGAGGAATTAAGTCTTTTTGATTTTTTTTTTTTTTTAAATTATACTTAATTCCCTGTCTCTCCAAGTCTCCTCTGTGCCTGAAGTCAATTTTTTTCTGGGTAAAATACTGAAGTCTTATCACAGGTGAAGCCAACTCCTGAGGAGAGGCTAAAGCTTGGTTTGTAACTAACTTACGCCTAATTAAAAATGACTACAGGAACCTTCTTAATCACAAGCTTCAAGGCAGACAACAGACCATACCCACTCCAGTTCACACACACCTTTGACTTCAGCAGAATCAAAGTAATGCCAGGTAGGAATTTGGACCATGAGTTTATAAAACTATTCTTTTACACAGTTGACTCCAGAAGTTTCACCAGTTGGTATGGGGACAGTGTGATGTAAAACCTGATGATCCCATCCAACTGTAGTGAGCAAGGCATTGTCTGAAGGAGACCAGGATAAGCCTTTTACAAAGTCTCGATGAGAACGGTTTCTGAACCTGGAAAACACAAACACTCCATTAGCCGTAAAGCATTGTCACTAAGACTTTATGGGCTTGTGCTAGTTTGTTAGGATGACGCTCCCCTATTTAAGGAGTATTTTCATCTTCCGCTCAGCATACGAATAATTAGCTTAATGAGAAGTCAACAAGACAAACAGCTACAGTAGTGAATACGTTCTATCTAGTACTTACACCTCTGAGAGGTCTGAGTCAAGAACAGCTACTGAACAGTCTTCACTGATTGAAGCCAGTAAGGGTGAACTAGAGGACAGAGATGAGACCACGGTTAAAACAATCAAATACAAGAAAGCTTCTTAGGGACAGCCTTATGAAAAGCACATTTCTTGGTGAGCCTGACCCAGGTACAGTGAATTAACAGACACCAAATCTTACAAGTATTTTTTTATCATCATTTGGCAGGTTGCTAGCACACTAGGCAAGAATATTCTATTAGTGTCGGAAAGCAAGTAATCCTTCTTCAAGCAGAGGTGACTGTAATTAGAAAAATCCCCAGAGTACGTGGGTCAATAATTCTGAATACTGCAAAAGCATCTTCACATACACTCACACGCTTCTTGTCAAAAGTGAGGCATTGTTTGATTTGCTCTATTCTTCGCTATCGATCTTCTTGATAAAAAGACCAAAACTAGTACTCTCATAGGTTTTACTCTAAAAACAAATAAGGGTTTCGAGTGTACATATCACACATGCCATGCCAGTATATCAGACCGTACCTATGTGTGGAAAACGCAAACCCCGTGATACTTCGGGCATGCACGGTGGAGCTGAGGGCAGAATCAGGATTCTTTGTGTCTACTAGTGCAACCGTTCCATTTTCATCACCTTTAAGAGAGGAAGGAAGAATGAGGTTATTAGCAAAATTGTCATGTGAAAAGAAAGACCTTGATTTGTCTGGTGAAAGTCAAATAATAAGATCACTTCTCACCCAAAACAAAGATGTCACTTTTCTGTGGATGCCACATGACTGAGGTAGGGAGGTGATTACAGGCACTGCAAACTGCGAGTAAATAAATTGGGATGAGTGTGAAAAGGGTGCAAAGATGTTCCTACGCTATCTCAGTTAGCACTGCTACTGCACTAAGACAAATATTTAAAGCTTATTGTACTTCTGTGATAGTGTTAGACTTCCTTAGGTTTTAATAAATAGGCTTTTCTGCCCAAATGGTCAGACTGCTACATTTGAAGTTAGACATAGTGAAGTCAGGCATAAAATAATTTATTTCTTCCAACAAAAACTCATACACAAGTAGTGACTGCATACAGAAACATACCAATTCGAGTAGCTGGTTTGGGACATCTGGTGTCCCACAGTAAAGTTCTGCCGTCCTATAAATCCAAAGGGAATGAGAAGGTTTTTACAATTTCTTTGTGGCAGGGGGTAGGCATAAACTCAGATTCACTGCAGAATGGCTACTGACCCACATTCAAACCCACACCACCTTCCTGTTGTGTTAAAATGATGCTGCCATTAACTGCAAGGTAGCTCCTTCAGTCATCCCCAGGACAGAGCTGGGAACGCCCACATTTTAACACAAACCTGTAGAAATCGGCTTGGTAAGCTGACCAGCAACTTATCAGGCTGGAACATTGAAATAACACAGGTATGCAGCTTGTAACACAATAGGTGGTTTCTCAGTAAGTGCACTTAACTATAAATAACTAAAATATCACTTTTATCAGGTAGATTTAGACAGAGAGCGAGCTTTACCTCAGCACAGGACAGGAACACAGTGTCCTTACCAGGACAGGAAGCCACACATGTCACTGAACCGGAGTGAGCTACCAAAAGCACAAAAGGATAAAGAGCCTCAAAGATTGTATCCAACTTTCCCGCATATTCCCAAGGACCGCTGAAGGCACAGCAGTATAATAAAGAATAATTTATGCCCAGATACAGGGTTAACGTCTACTCAGCAATAGCCAACTGCTTCCTACCAAACTGATGAGCTGCCAAACCCAACCAGAGCCACTGCAGTCAAGTCCCTGTGACGTGCAAAAGCTTGAGGAAGCCTCTCCAGAGGAGAGGACAGTGACAAAGGGGCCAGGGGGGAGAGGGCCAAAGTACGGCCTCCGCTGTGGCTACAGATCACAGTACCACATCTCCAGAGATCCGCATCTCCACTGAGCTGCTGTGCAAAACAAATACAGGTTAGGAGATCGTACGCAGGTGGAGGGAAGATTTCAGTACAGAAGAAATACTCTAAAATACGCTTAAAGATGCGAGGCAAACTAAGCCTTATGGCATTCGTTTCGTGGGGAGAAATGAACAACAGACAAAGAAATAGGGCTGTGCCAGAAACTCCACACACTGGCAAACGTCAGATCACGGCCCCAGGCGTGGTTTGGCAGACGGGAGATAACCAGCGATGCTGCAGGCCCGAGCTCAGCCTGCAGCAAGCGGCACGGGGCCGGGAGGAGCCGGGCGACGGGGCCAGCGTGGCACTCACCTCTGTAGGAGTGCAGCACCGCTTGCTGTGGGAGGTCCCAGACCTTCACGCTGCGGACAAGAGCGAGCAGTCAGCACCGGGCACCGGCCCCAGTGCGCGGCA